TAAATAAGGGTGTCAACGATTTTGCATTTGTCGTAGGCACGTGGGTGGAAAAAGAGACAAACCAACTATCCTTAATATTTTGACTTCAGTTGAAGTATGGAATGGACATGTCTTCTATCTCGCTGCATATATCCCTATCTCGCCCAAATTTCGCCATCCCCCTAAATAAGGGTGTCAACGATTTTGCATTTGTCGTAGGCACGTGGGTGGAAAAAGAGACAAACCAACTATCCTTAATACTTTGACTACAGTTGAAGTATGGAATGGACATGTCTTCTATCTCGCTGCATATATCCCTATCTCGCCCAAATTTCGCCATCCCCCTAAATAAGGGTGTCAACGATTTTGCATTTGTCGTAGGCACGTGGGTGGAAAAAGAGACAAACCAACTATCCTTAATACTTTGACTACAGTTGGAGTATGGAATGGACATGTCTTCTATCTCGCTGCATATATCCCTATCTCGCCCAAATTTCGCCATCCCCCTAAATAAGGGTGTCAACGATTTTGCATTTGTCGTAGGCACGTGGGTGGAAAAAGAGACAAAGCAACTATCCTTAATACTTTGACTACAGTTGGAGTATGGAATGGACATGTCTTCTATCTCGCTGCATATATCCCTATCTCGCCCAAATTTCGCCATCCCCTAAATAAGGGTGTCAACGATTTTGCATTTGTCGTAGGCACGTGGGTGGAAAAAGAGACAAACCAACTATCCTTAATACTTTGACTACAGTTGGAGTATGGAATGGACATGTCTTCTATCTCGCTGCATATATCCCTATCTCGCCCAAATTTCGCCATCCCCCTAAATAAGGGTGTCAACGATTTTGCATTTGTCGTAGGCACGTGGGTGGAAAAAGAGACAAAGCAACTATCCTTAATACTTTGACTACAGTTGGAGTATGGAATGGACATGTCTTCTATCTCGCTGCATATATCCCTATCTCGCCCAAATTTCGCCATCCCCCTAAATAAGGGTGTCAACGATTTTGCATTTGTCGTAGGCACGTGGGTGGAAAAAGAGACAAACCAACTATCCTTAATACTTTGACTACAGTTGGAGTATGGAATGGACATGTCTTCTATCTCGCTGCATATATCCCTATCTCGCCCAAATTTCGCCATCCCCCTAAATAAGGGTGTCAACGATTTTGCATTTGTCGTAGGCACATGGGTGGAAAAAGAGACAAAGCAACTATCCTTAATACTTTGACTACAGTTGGAGTATGGAATGGACATGTCTTCTATCTCGCTGCATATATCCCTATCTCGCCCAAATTTCGCCATCCCTCTAAATAAGGGTGTCAACGATTTTGCATTTGTCGTAGGCACATGGGTGGAAAAAGAGACAAACCAACTATCCTTAATACTTTGACTACAGTTGGAGTATGGAATGGACATGTCTTCTATCTCGCTGCATATATCCCTATCTCGCCCAAATTTCGCCATCCCCCTAAATAAGGGTGTCAACGATTTTGCATTTGTCGTAGGCACGTGGGTGGAAAAAGAGACAAAGCAACTATCCTTAATACTTTGACTACAGTTGGAGTATGGAATGGACATGTCTTCTATCTCGCTGCATATATCCCTATCTCGCCCAAATTTCGCCATCCCCCTAAATAAGGGTGTCAACGATTTTGCATTTGTCGTAGGCACATGGGTGGAAAAAGAGACAAAGCAACTATCCTTAATACTTTGACTACAGTTGGAGTATGGAATGGACATGTCTTCTATCTCGCTGCATATATCCCTATCTCTCCCAAATTTCGCCATCCCCCTAAATAAGGGTGTCAACGATTTTGCATTTGTCGTAGGCACATGGGTGGAAAAAAAGACAAAGCAACTATCCTTAATACTTTGACTACAGTTGGAGTATGGAATGGACATGTCTTCTATCTCGCTGCATATATCCCTATCTCGCCCAAATTTCGCCATCCCCCTAAATAAGGGTGTCAACGATTTTGCATTTGTCGTAGGCACGTGGGGGGAAAAAGAGACAAACCAACTATCCTTAATACTTTGACTACAGTTGGAGTATGGAATGGACATGTCTTCTATCTCGCTGCATATATCCCTATCTCTCCCAAATTTCGCCATCCCCCTAAATAAGAGTGTCAACGATTTTGCATTTGTCGTAGGCACATGGGTGGAAAAAAAGACAAACCGACTATCCTTAATACTTTGACTTCAGTTGGAGTATGGAATGGACATGTCTTCTATCTCTCTGCATATATCCCTATCTCGCCCAAATTTCACCATCCCCCTAAATAAGGGTGTCAACGATTTTGCATTTGTCGTAGGCACGTGGGGGGAAAAAGAGACAAACCAACTATCCTTAATACTTTGACTACAGTTGGAGTATGGAATGAACATGTCTTCTATCTCGCTGCATATATCCCTATCTCGCCCAAATTTCACTATCCCCTGAAGTCACGATGTTCTCTCATCTTCTCTCACTCTCTCTCTCCTATATAATATATGTATGTGGCAGTAGTCCTCCACTCACTGAGGAAAGAGTAGAAGTCAGGGTCAGCCACGTTGAGAAGAGCTCGCAGCTGCTTGAGCCGGTTCCTCATACCTGTCTGTGACTCCTCGAAATGGTGACCCTTTTGGAAAGGCAATTACATTACCATTATTATTAAAAATGAAAACAACGGGTTTACTGCCTGTTAAAATGTTAGGGGATTAAAATGAGGTGGTTAAATTGAAATGAGGGTACCAAATTGAGGGGTTCGTGGTTAAAACAAGGGGACCAAATTGAGGGGTTCCTGATCAAAGTGAGGGGACCAAATTGAGGGGTTCGTGGTTAAAACAAGGGGACCAAATCGAGGGGTTCCTGATCGAAGTGAGGGGACCAAATTGAGGGGTTCCTGATCGAAGTGAGGGGACCAAATTGAGGGGTTCGTGGTTAAAACAAGGGGACCAAATCGAGGGGTTCCTGATCGAATTGAGGGGACCAAATTGAGGGGTTCTTGAATGAAGTGAGGGGACCCCCCCTACTCACCACCATGTCCATGAAACCAACGAAGCACCAGAAAGTGTCGACCTCATTCTCCATGACAACCAGTAGAGGAGCCAAGAGATCACTCATTCCCTGTACATATCCTATGAGGAGAGATGAGGAGGAAAATGGTGGAGCCCCTCTCTAAGGACACCCCTGAAATGAGGACACCTTTTCTTTCCCAAAGAACAGTTCTCGCATAAGGACATTACTTTTGTAGTGATGAACTTACCAAGGTCAAAGTTGTACATGACATATGTCCTCAGGATGTCTTCCAGCTGTGTCAACCTACAGCGTGATTAGCCATGTGACCAGTCACGTGATAAATCATGTGAGCAGGTAATGATGTCATGCTGATGTCATTATTGCATACCTGTGGCACTTGCTGTCACGGAACATGTCCACCTCCCTGTCTGTTCTCAGAACATCCTTATCTAAGGAGTCACGTGACATCAACCACAGTCATGTGACAATCACGTGACTGATCATGTGACTCACTGATGAGGACTTTGGCCTCTCTCCATTTGGAGAACCTCTGTTCCTGAGATTCCGTGAAGCTTTGCCACTGGCTTTTCATCATCCAGTATTCCTTCTCTCTTTGCTGAACGGAGTGAGTGAGGAGTTAGTAAGAGAGATGAAATACGTTGTGTATGCAGCACAAAGAGTTTCGCGGGGTTAAAGATATCTACTTTGATTACACAGCAAACAAGAGTTAAGGTAGAGTGGAACTCTGCTACTCCAGATACAGAACAAAGTGTCCATATTAGTGAGATGTCCTTATTTCAGGGGTTAAATTACATGCAAGTAACTGCTCTTGGGGAAAGAAAAAGTGTCCTTATTAGAGAGGTGTCCTCATTTCAGGGGTGTCCTTATTAGAGAGGTGTCCTCATTTCAGGGGTGTCCTTATTAGAGAGGTGTCCTCATTTCAGGTGTCCTTAGAGAGGTTCACCTGGAGACATAACCTTTTTCTCTGCTATATTCTGTATGTATGTATGTAGATTAGTAAGTTAGGACTGTCATACCAGCTGTAGCTCCATTCTCTCAATATCAGTCGAGTTGAACGGAAAATAGTTCAGGAGATAACGCCACGCCTCCTTCCGAACCGACGGCTCTATACCCTGGGAGACAACGAATGGCAGAGGTGAGAGATGGAACAGAAAAGTCGCGAAGGTTGGGCGCATGTTTATGCAAGCTCATTGCCCCTAGCAACAGAAAGAGAGTTAAGTAGATACGGAAAAGAGATTATAAACAGTCCTGAGGTAAATGGACGTTAGGGAATATGCAAGAATGAATGTTTCTAAGACTAATAAGAAAGTAAAATAAACGAAAGTGAGAAGGATAAAAAGAAGGGAAAATGGACTTACTCCAGAGAACACTATTGCTCTGAATCTGGTCTGTTGGCGAGGACTGATCCTCCCCTCGCCATCTCTGAGACTCTCCCACTCTGTGTGACTGAGAGGAGGTTGGAGAGGTAGGGGAGGGGGACGGGGAGGCAGCTTGCCCTGCGAGAGAGAGAGAGAGAGAGAGAGAGAGAGAGAAGTGTGTTTTGGCAACTGCCTACTGATCCCATACTCCCCTTATTGTACTGTGTATGTGCAAAGAAAGGGTTTTGTTGTTGTTGAGAGAGAGAGAGAGAGACAGAGGTTATGCTGCGTACTACATATTTTTCCTTACTCGTATGTCAGTGATGACTTGGAAGTCGGTGATGAGAGACATGTCTGGATCAGGGTCCCTCCTCTCTCCCTCCCTCGATATCGCCTCGCTCATGGCCACCGTTTGAATCTTCTCTGCAAATTCGTCGTCTTCTTCTGTGCCAGGACGGACTTCTTGAAGTCTGTGCCAGGGGGTGGTGAGTTTTGAATATAACAGCCCGTTAAAATGTCAGGCAGTGTGGCAAGTTTAAAACGAAATATAGTGGGATTAGAATAAGGTGCGTATGCATGTGTGTGTGTGTGTGTGTGTGTGTGTGAGAGAGAGAGAGAGAGGTCAAACCTTGTATCGGGGATGAATTTTTGCCTCACAGCTCGCGTTATTCCTATAAAATTTCCCATGGCTCCTCCCAACACCCCAGTCACAATACCCTGTAAACAAACAACAAACAAACATGTAAACAAACGAACAAACCAACAACCGACTCATGCACATACACACAGGCACTACTTGCTCAAGGACATTTTGTGTAAGAGGCAAGTCCACAGACAACTGTAAACCCACCTCCACTGCAGCTTTCTTGGGGTTAGAGGTGGTATTTTGTCTGGGACGGTCCGCTTTCTTGTTGAATTCCTTCACCACGTGGAGACGGTTGTCACGGCGATCCCTGACAGAATAACGTAATTATGCCTGTGAAATTGTCTCTCCCCCTCCCATGTCTCTCATTATCTTACGTCTCAAAATAGACAAATCTTCGAAACACCATGAACAGACTGTTTGTTCCGCCGTCATGGAAATGGAGTGTCGGCAATTCACTTCCATCCTTCAGATAGAATGTTAAGGACCTGAGGGAGAAAAGGTGTCCTTATTAGAGAGGTGTCCTCATTTCAGGGTGTCCTTAGAGAGGTGTCCTGATTTCAGGGGTGTGCTTAGAGAGGTGTCCTCATTTCAGGGGTGTCCTTAGAGAGGGGTTCCACTGTACTATACACAGAGCTCACCGTTTCCCAGGTGACAGCAGACTGATTGTCTCCCGAATGGAGTGAAGTTGGGAGAGAGGGAAATTGACGGTGTCTTGCAGCTGCTTGGCCTTCTCGCCTGCCGGAGAAGAGGAGGAGGAGGGACCACCTCGCCCCTGGGTAACGATCCCCGAAATATGTGCCTCTCCATCACGAGAGGAGCGAGCACCTGACAAAGACAAACCAGCAGGTCATAATCCAGTTTAAAAACCAGTTTGACTGGTTTTAGTTGTCGTGGAAACTAGTTGTTAAGTGGGTAGCAGAAAACAGGTTTAACTGGATTTTAGCACAGGTTTTTTTTTACAAAAACTGGTGTTAATTAAGCATAATTTATTATTTATTCTGACAGGGCAACTGTTGAAGCATAAAACCGGTTCAACAGGTTTTTAAAACCAGTTTACTAGAAAGACCTGTTACATTCCTTTCACCTATTCCTGTCACTCTAGCCTCTTCCTCTTGTTCTGTTTCAATGGCTGACGTGCTGGGGGATTTCCCACCTTCTAGGACCCTTGTAGGACTCTGAGAGGATTACATCATGATGACATCATTGTAATAAAGAGACTCCGCCCACCATCAGAATGGGGTCAGGGGCATCCAGAGTCCCCATGCTGTACTGGGCGTCTGGGAATGAGTGTTCCCTCGTCTCAATTAGTTCTGGCGGCTCAACTGAAGAAAACAGAGGACACCTTCAAATTTTTCAAGAAAACCAACGATTTTTCTTTAGCAATTTGCTTGAATCTTAAGATGGGACCACAGTGCTCAGTAAGAACGCCTTTGAAGTCAAACCTCAAAATTCGAGACTTTAAATGTGCAATTTACATACGAACATTGAATGCTAAACCAAAATACATGGAACAGAGCAGGAAGCAGTAAACAAATATCGGTGCAAATTCGTAAAAAAATTGTGTGAAAATGCAGAAGAATGTGTGAAAATGAAATATGAAGTGTTAGCAGTGTCTACATACCGAACTGGTCCACCATGGCCCAGCTATCGGCCTGTGCCAAGTAGAGCGACGCCACCTCTTGTTGAGTTAGATCAAAAGGCGACCAAGTTAAGTGGTATTCCCCACTCTGGAGGGATGAATCAGTATTGATAGAGGGTGATGTCATTGCCAATTCTACAGTTCTAATTGGCATGCCAATGACAGTCACATGATCGAAGCCTAATGTATGAGTAAATAAGCACGGATAGCTATGGTGATGCAATAAGCCACTCTGTGCTGCTACATATCATAACTCACTATAAACAAACCATTATTGGCTGCATAATCTCCTAATCTGTGAAGTTAAATAGCTATCAACTAATTTTCTTCTACAACCAAGCGTTTAATTGTGTACGCCTTCACCCATTCATTTTGCTACACACATACACTATCTACACGTACAGTATTAAATCTAGTCATCGTCAATGTAGACGTCTTACCTTATTGACGACTCGTACTGATCCGGCCAGTTTCAGCTCTACCCCGGCGGCCGAGATCTCCGGAGGAATGTACACGTACACCTCCGCCACTTCGTGCAGGGTCGACTCGGCGGGATCTCTCTCCCTCCCTCCCCCTCCTCCTCCTCCACCGCCTCGCTTTTTCTCAGACATCGCTACTTCTTTCTTGCGACAAACTGGCTTATTCTTCGAGTGACCTTTCACCTCAATCTTATGCGCATGCGCAGAGTTGCTAAGGACACAAAGGCCAATCGTTCTGATAGTACTAGTGGAATTCATGCGTGTCCGTGCGAGTGATAAAAATGACTGATTGGAGCGCTAAGCGTGATCAACTGTTTCCATTTTGCAGTCTCTTCTCTAGTTCCACTGCCTTGTGGCTCTGTCCAGTCTCCCTGTAAGCCTTAGCCAGTAGCTCTGTACTGAGCACGGAGCCCGGAGCCACAGCTATCACCTTCTCGAGCGCACTCACAGCTTCATCGTAGATTCCCAGCTCACTGTGCAGCTTCCCCAGACCGTACCACACCTGTGCACATAACAATAATGTGTGGCAGTATTACTTGACCATGAATATTACTAGTGCTCAAAATAGAGTGTTTGTAGGCGCCATATTTAGTGATTTTTGCACTCAAAAAATTTGGCAAGATTTAAGATTTTTTGGACCACAAAATGTTCTGACCTAGCCTTCTTATTGACAGTTTAGTCTCGACCTTTGCCGGTTAGCTACAAATTTTGCAACTTGCTCTAACACTAGGTTTGCTACTTATGAGTGTGTTGCCCAATGAATACCTCCTCTAGTGGTTAGTAATTGTTAATATCATCAAGGTCAACTTCAGTATTTTAGTTGCCACTGATTCACACACCTGTATGCTGTGAGGATCCAGCTGCAGTGCACGATGAAAGAAAGATTTCGCTGCGGCGTATTCTTGTCTCTGCAAATGGAGCTTCCCAATTCTCCACAAGTGTTTGAAATTACCGGGTTCTAGTTGGACAGCTCTCTCCAGACTGTGGTGCATGAGAATACAGTGGAACCAGCTACCCAAAAATCTTGTACTATTTAACTGTGAATATTTCTCTATTATTATACATGCAATCCCACTCATCCTCTTCCCAATAATGCTATATTAAAACCCCCCAAACTCCAGCAGTAGCTACCCACTTCCGCAACTCTACCACACTCTATGGGTGTTTATCTATGTTTAAAGTGCAAGAAACGCTATACATGCAGCATTAATGCCTTTTTAACCATGTATTCCACTAGACTCACAGTAAGAAGGCCTCCTGCTGCCTGTCAGTGACATTTGAATCACTCAAAATAACAGCCAGCGACGCCAGAGCTGAAATGTGGTCCTCCTTTATTTCCAGAGCTCTCCGTAGGTACTGTTCTGCAGCCACCTTGTCTTTTACCCTCCCATACATTACTGCCAGGTTATAGTTGGTCTCAGCAGAGTCCTGGCTCTATGGCTACTGCTGACTGGAACTGGTTCATGGCACTTTGGTGGTCTCTCATCTGGATGTAGCATTCTCCTGCCACCATCTTCCTGTGTCAAAGTATAGGGTTTCTATTAATAGACCTCTGGCCACCATCTTCCTGTGTCAAAGTATAGGGTTGCTATTAATAGACTTCTGGCCACCATCTTCATGTAGCAAAATATAGGGTCCTAAAGAATGAGTCACTGTTTCTATTATTAGACTTCTGGCTACCATTTTCCCTGTGGCGAAGTAATCTATAAATAGGGTCCTAGGGAATGAGTCACGGTTTCTATTAATAGATCGAGAGGTGTGATTTGTAAGGTTGAAAAAATTAGTCATGGAAAAAGAACAACTTTGCTTCAAAGAATTTACCGCTTAAATAAGTATTACAATACTGTGCATACCAGTGAGCTTTCATGGATGATGTCGTCTCCAGGGAAACAGCTTGAGAGAATAGATTAGTAGCTTCCTTGAGACGACTCGTGTTGGTCTTAATCACGTTACCCAGTTCACCGTAGACGTTGATCATGCGATTACCAATGTGAAACCCCATTTTCTTCCCTTCTGGAACTAGATTTAGAGCACCCCTCAGGTACTGCAGTGTGGGAGGATATAATATGTGTAGTTAGCATGCTGATTGGTCGAAATTTAATCCGGACACTATATGAATTGATGTCAGTCTCGCTAATCATGTGGGAACAATAATAAAGGGGCTGACATTTGCTCATCTGACATCTCATTAGCTATTCCAAGGAGTGACGATATACGAAAGTTTAAGGAGCAAACCTATCCTCACCTTTTCAGCCTCATCAAAGTGTCCGAGAGACTTATGAACAAATGCCAGGTTGGTCCACTGTAGCATGACACGGGGCTGCAACTGTAGAGCATGCTCAGTGAGCAGCAGGACCATACCGGTTTCGTTCCTTTGCTCGTACTCTTTGGCCAGGTTCGTAAATACTTTAGAGTTGCCCGGATTGACTGCGACAGCTGATTTCCAAAGACTCTCTTGGGAAACCCAATCTCTGTTTCTGCGTACTGGTTTTCCCACTCTGAATGACTAGTACAAACACTAGACCAATTTTCAAGACCCATGCCCACTTTTTGTTTCTGTTTATTAACTCTTTGTAGACCAGAGCGACCAGGAGACAGAAGCCCATACTAGGTAGGTAGAGGACTCTCTCAGCTATGACAAAGCCCACGGGGAAGAAGAGGTTGGAGGCTGGGAGGTAGGGGAGGACCAGGAGAGAGAGGGAGAATAAAACGGAAGTCTTTTCTCTCCGAACGGCTTGTGTCAGTAGAAATGCGAGGAAGACAAAGAGAGTGAGAGTCAACAAGTTCCTCAAATCAGCCAATGACAACACCAAAGGGACTGTACCTACAGTTTGTATAAAATTTTGAATTCACAACATTTTCCCTTTAACTCAGAGACCCTGTAATTGTTAACATTAGAGTGTGTCGTATAGAGTGCAAAAGACTGTTACCATTGGCCCAGTCGGCACATAGAGGGCTGGGGTTGAGAAGAAGCCATGCATTAACCCAGCAGAGATAGAGCCAGTTGAGCTGTCTGTAAGGAGTGGGTTCCAGGACTGCCGGATTTGTCTCCTCACTGGATGGACCCGAGAGAGAGAGGTGGGTGAAGGGGAAGGGAAAATAAAGGCACACAGAGGTATACAAAACAAGAGAGAAGAAAGACTTGTTGCTTTGAATGCAAACACTCATAGAATAGCAGTTCATGGTAAGATTTGATAAGTATGAGATTAGAACTTTGGCAAGAAAATCTTTTGGAAGATTACTTCTTCACTAGTGGACTGCTGTCTGGAATAGCTATTATCGAACCAAAAATTCACCTCCCTCTTGAAATAAAGTTATGTTTCTTACAAGTAGAAAGTTGGCATGGATCCTCCCATAACTCTCAATCTGAACGTCATGAAAATGACGGTAAAGAACGCCAGGACTACTCCTCTCATAGCAAACCCCTTCAACTGGACATGTGATATGGAATCACTGCGGTTGAGCTTCATCTTGAGTTGCAACAACACCGCTGTGTCAATCTGAAAAAGAGAGTTTTAGGATTGATTACAGAGGAACCCCTCTAATCCAGACAACAGTGGGACAGAAGAAAGTGTCCATATTAGTGTACTATAGGGTTAAATTGCATGCAAAATACGTTTTCTTAGGGAAAGAAACATAGTTTACTTCCTAGAGATGTCTCCTCATTTCAGAGGTGTCCTTATATACCTATTGTGCTGGTTTGACATACCTTCACAGTGTACAGGCATCATACGCCATGCATACAGCCACTGCAGTAATGCCTTGTTCTTTGCTCAATGCAGAGCACGCAGTACAGACACCATTGCTGTGAAGAACCAGCCGACTTCACTCCCCACCTATACGATCATAACAGCAGCAACCATCATTAAGTGACGAACGGCTAGCACAGAATGTTACTTTCCTCAGCAGATTTTAATGCACCTGCGGTGCTGGCGAGTCGCATGATAGAGTTTTTATTGATAAAGAGCTCCTACCTGTTCACCGGTCGTTGCCTTTCTGTAGCAAAAGATGGAGAAGAGTAGGAAATGAGCAGAGAAGCTCAGCCCTACCAACCACTCCTGCGACTACAGAGTGCCATTATGTGCAAAAACCTTTTAGGGACGGAGAGAAAGATATCTGTAAAGTTTTTAATGTGTTGCTTTCTGTGAGGGTATAGCTATATAAAGTGGGATGTAGCTAAGGTTAACACAATGTATATATAGGTCTTCTCCACATAAGCTATGATGTAAGCAGCTAAGGTGAGTTTCCCACTATATATTAAGTGCTATATTGAAGGGGGCAGAGCCAGAGTGGGCCAACCTCACTATACAACTCTTGCCGGTTTTTGGACATTTAGAACATATTTGAAGGAAAAACGGCAAAGAGGTTGTATACTGAGGATTGGCCCACTCTGACTCTGACCCCTTCAATTATAGTCTTATAGTAGTCCATGTCAGTTACGAGGTTCTAGGCATCCCATAGAATTAGACTAGTGGCGGACACTATCATCTATCCAATGCGACCAGCTCGTAGGCGGCAGTGTGGCTGATAGTTTCGTGCCTGTTGCCAGGATTTTTCAATGAGGATTAGATAGGAGAGTTTTGTGGGATCGTGCAGTCCTTTCCCATGATAATTACCCACAAATTTGTACCTAGCATACCATTCACAATGAGGAGCTGTTGATTTTGTGGACCACGGGGCATTAGCTTACCAAGACCATACATTATGTCAAACATGTGACTGCACACTCGCTACAGCCGAACTATCCACAATCAGACAGAACATATGAAGGCAATTGGTGTCAATTTATACCTGGTACCAATGGATTTTACAGATACCTGACAATTCAGACCATAGGTTACACTATAACCCACATCACACACTATCACACGGCTACACACAGTATGACTATTCTCTATATTGCCACAAGCTGTACTCGTTTGATATTATGCTTACCGCTCAGTGTGCTATGGGTGGACTGCAACAGTAGACTCCAGACTATCAGGGCCGGCCACACTTCACGTGAAGACACACCACACAGCAGTACGTACAGGTAGACCACTGCACTGTGCAGGACGCACGTTCACCAAGTGGTAGCACAGACGGCTACAGCTCGTGCAGCATGTAGTTCAGCCGAAAAGTGGCCACGCACCAGAAGGACGACGATACAGACTGATGAATGGTTTCCTGGCATCGAAGCTCCCAGACAATCATCTTCTATGAAAGATGCGTCCACGGGTGTATGCGCGCGCAGATCTTGATTTAGTAAATTGCGCGCTATCGTCATCAAAAACACGTAGCAGCAGTCCAGAGTGGATGTCTTCATTCGGTCTAATGCTACAGTCATAAACGCAATGGCGGAGCAAATCAGGGCCGCTTCTTGCAATTCATATCTCCACATTACGGTGAAAAGAACGGGACTATTGTGTAACATTCGCGGATAGAGTTTCGATCTATAAGCAATGAGAATACGGTTGTATAACGCGCCGCGCGCCTCGGATTACGAAAAAGATATGACGTAATTGGACTTAAATTAACCCGTATAAAGACGCGGATTCTGAGGGAGAGGTGGTTTAGAT